AGCTTTATTAAAGTATAATTGACAAAACTGTAAAATTTTCTTTCTCATAAAAGTTACTTGGGGAGAGATTTATAGTTTTAACTTTAATAGGATTAGTAGGATTAGTGGACTGATTCCTTTGTAATTAAGAACCCAGAGTAATAGCCTAAAGAATGGTTTTGGGACTAAGTATCTCATAAGAGTTGTATCCAGCTTTTTTCTTCTCTAACCCATTCCTCACTTAGTTACCAGATGTGTTTTTTAAGAACACTTTTATCATATGTCTTCCATACTCATACCTCTGGATAGCTTTAGTTTATCTAGAAAATAAAATATGAATTCCTCAGTAGGACACAATTTGGCCTCAATCTACCTATACAGACTCAGTTCTTCCTAAACACATCCACTCGTCAACCTGACCCCTAGCCAAGTCAAGCTGTCATCAAAGTGTATGTCTGGTTACTTACCAAGTAAGTCCTTGGCTTACTTGGCATGGCTCCTGACCAAACCCCACCCCCACCAACCTGCTGATGAGGCCGCCATGAAGACAGAGACACGATCATGGAAGGTCTTATAAGACAGGGTAAGGACTCTGAGAATCATTTAAATTGTGATAGGAAGACACTGAAGAGTTCTAAGCATGGAAGTAACATGATCTGATTCCTTTTTTAAAGAATCATTTTGGCTGCTATGGGGAGAATAAGCTAAGAAACAAGAGTAGAAGTAGGGAAGTGGTGGGGAAAAACACGACTAAAAAATGGCTGCTACCTGAACAACTGGGTAAATGTGGTTAGAGTGCTGGGATTGGCAAGCCTTGGTGTGTAGGAAGGAAAGTAGAGGTGGAAGAAGGGGTTTGGGGCATGAGTTTTGTTTGCACATATAAAATCTTAGAAAGGTCAGGTGCCTGGGTAGCTCAGGTGGTTGAGCATCCACCTCTGTTTCAGCTCAGGTCATGATCTCATGGATCGTGAAGTGGAGCCCTGCGGGGGGTTCTGCGCTCAGCGGGGGAGGGGGGGTCTGCTTGAGATTCTCTTCCTCTGTCCCTTCCCCAATGTGTGCACACATGTACATATTCTCTCAAATAAATACATAAATCTTTAAAAAAAAATCTCAGAAAGCTCTTGGTTGCTCTATCCCTCTTTATTGCAGAGAGACTCTGTTTATACTGTGATTTTATAATCTATCACATGCTGACAAAATTTGTTCCATGCTTATCACTCTCTCTAGTCAGACTGGCTGCTTGAGGGCGGAGACTATAATATTTAGTCCATATCCCTAAGAGAGGACCTTCAACAAAGCAGCCACTTAAAGTGACTGTAGAATGAAAAAAGGTACTGTTCTAGATACTCTGAGGAATGCAAACCTAGGAAGAAAAAGTTACTTTTCTAGCAGTCTCCATCATCTAGAACTTACCCTGAATCAGGGTTAACAGAAGTTACTGCAGACCATAAACCTGGCTCGGAGTCTAGCCTTCCAGTATAGAAACTCATATATAACATATATCAAATCAACCTGCGCTCTTCAGCCTCCTAACATGAGGGCTAGGGGGCCCATACTGATTAGCTCTATGTCAAATAGCTTTTCTGTTTTTTTTTTTTTTTTTTAAGATTTTTCTTATTTGAGAGAGAGAATGCACGAGCGAGAGAGCACAAGCAGGGGGAGGGGCAGAGGGAGAGGGAGAAGCAGGCTGCCCACTGAGCAGGGATCCTGATGCAGGGCTCGATCCCAGGACCCTGGGATCATGACCTGAGTTGAAGGCAGACACTTAACTGACTGAGCCACCCAGGCACCCCTAAATAGCTTTTCTTTTCTTTTTTAAAGATTTTATTTATTTGACAGAGAGAGACACAGCGAGAGAGGGAACACAAGCAAGGGGAGTGGGGGAGGGAGAAGCAGGCTTCCCGCTGAGCAGGGAGCCTGATGCGGGCTCAATCCCAAGACCCTGGGATCATGACCTGAGCTGAAGGCAGAGGCTTAACGACTGAGCCACCCAGGCGCCCCTAAATAGCTTTTCTTTATACTGTACAAAGCCAAACATTTACAGATATGACTTAAATATTTACATAGGTTTTCAAGTAGGATTTTTATTTTTAAACATCCTATCTACATTAGTTTTTGTAGTCTTTTTTTAAAGATATTATTTATTTTAGAGAGAGAGCGAGCATGAGTGCATGCACGTGTTGGGGCAGAAAGGGAGAGGGACAAGCAGACTCAGAGTTGAGCGTGAAGCCCCACGCGGGGCTCCACAGGGTGTCGGGGGGCTCAATCCCACGACCCTGAGATCATAACCTACACAGAAATCAAGAGTTGATGCTTAACCAGCTGAGCCAACCAGGCGCCCCAGTTTTTATAGTCTTATTTTTCAGATTCTAATATATATAGATTCCTATATTTCAGATTCTAATAGATTTCTTGTACAGTCTGGAACACTTAACTGTTTATCCCTTTTTAAAGCTCATTTGAATACTGAATAGAATCACAGATTTTTTTAAAGATTTTATTTATTTATTTGACAGAGAGAGAGAGAGAGAGAGAGAGAGGGACATGGAGAGAGAGAGCGCACATGCAGGGGGAGTGGCAGGCAGAGGGACAGGGAGCAGAGCCCGACATGGGGCTCTATCCCAGGACCCTGGGATTATGACCTGAGCTGAAGGCAGACGCTTACCTGACTGAGCCACCCAGGCGCCCCTAGAATCACAGATTTTTTTTTTTTAAAGATTTATTTATTTTGAGAGAGTGAGAATGAGAGAGAGAGAGAGCACATGAGACGGGGGAGGGCCAGAGGGAAAGCAGGTTCCTCCCTGAGCAGGGAGCCTGATGCGGGACTTGATCCCGGGACTCCAGGATCATGACCTGAGCTGAAGGCAGTCGCTTAACCAACTGAGCCACCCAGGCGCCTGAATCACAGAATTTTTAAGACAGAAACTCACTAAATCCAGAGCCCTTGTTTATCTGTCGGGATAAGAAAACTGAGGCCTGAAAAAAATTTCTCAAGATTCTACAGTCATTTAGAAATGGAACCAGGTGTAGAAACTACTTCACCTGTTTCCTACTGCATAATTCTTTTCCACAAAGATAAACTTCTTAATGAATAAAATGGATTAATTTGGCCATTTTGCAATGGACTACATATTCTGCTTTTATAATTTTTCTATACAGTGATATCTCAACAACTTTTATAGGAAGGCTATGCCTTAAAATGAGGTCAAGCATATTAATAACTAAAACAGTCAAGTGAGGGCTTAATGGTAATGCTTTCTGAGATAAGTGCACACACACAGAAACATGTATGATAGAAATGCTACACTCAAGAGCTATATGGCCATGGAAAGCTGAAGGTAGATGGACCAAAGCCTATGTATAATGGTGAAGTTTGTAAGACTTGCCATTATCATATCTGGCTTTCCCTTTATTCTTTATCTGTCTCAGTGGTAATCCCTCTTCCCATTTCAAAAGGCTTCCTATATATCCTTATTTTTCCCTTTACGGAATAGGAAACAATTTTGTATCTATTATCTTCACCTTGTTTTCTGACAAACTTAAGACACTACTTGAATGAATTTTAATCAATATATTAACTCAACCAGACATTTACATTCTATGCTTTTGATCCTGAAGTGTGGAATCACGGATTTGTTCCAGAAGAATTTTAGACCTCAACAGGAAGATGACAGGAATCAAGTGGTGGAGACTGGTTCTTTCCCTCCTAGTCATTAAAATGACATGATCTGAAGGCCAACCAAGTATCTAGGTAGGGTGTATAAGAGTCTAAAGGGGTGGCACATATTGTGCCCTCTACTGTTTATAAGAATGACCAAAGCCGTTGTTCCAACTTCTGACACACATCTGAAACACTAGAAATTTAAAATTTCTAAGGTTTGGGATAACTTCATTATTTTAGTGAGTTGCAATTAGAATTGAAAGTATGTTCAAAGCTAGCATACAGACACTCATCACGTTTGTAAGTATGTTATATTCATATGGTACTTTATGCTTACAAAGTGTTTTCTTATGTGCTATGTGACTTGAACTTCAACAATATCTAATGTAAACGTCATTTCCACTTTCAAATGAAGATTTAAGGTTCTCAGATAATAAGGGTAATAAAAGGCACAGCCAGGACTGAATATAAGAATTCTTAATCACAGTATGCTCTCTCTGTAATGTGTACCTTATACAGCAATATTAAAATACAATAATATTAAAATAGCTTGTATATGTAAACTCCAAACATTTTTAAAGTAGAAAAGTAATATGGTCCCCAAATTTCTAAATAAATTATGTTGATCTTTTGAAGCTCAAATTTAGTATAATCTCTTTGACAAAGATAATTGTTTTGTTCTCTGCTGTCTCATCTTTCTAAAAGAATTCGATAGAAAAAATACTGTGAAAACATACAGCTAAATGAACAGAGTCATCTTTAATTACCCAAAATATACGTTTCTCACTTTGATGCTTTTTCTTTGACGTCCTTTGAAAATCTTATTCAAATAAATTTAAAACATTAGCCTAAAAATTTGCAACTGTACAGTTCGTTTCAACTCAGGGATTCATGTAGATTTTTGTAACTAGCTTCTTTGCATATTTCATTAATTTGCCAACTTTGAAGAAACACGGTATCACTGGCAGGTTGTATCCTGTTTCTTCCCAAATGCATTTTACCTTAGCTTTTCTTGAAATGAGTTATAAAATGGCATTATCCATCAACTAGGGTTCCTTTATCCAAGGGAAACTGAATCAGATTTAATATTACACAGATTTAAAACTCACATGTTTTGCTACTTTAAAATTATTTTCTGTTCAATAAAATAGAGCTTGAGAGTATCGTTACCAAATTCAAATTTGCTTTTGAAATAACTTTAGTGATTATAAAGAAAAAAGATGCTAGAACATCATTCAAATGTGAAAACTGATCATTACAAAGCTATGAGCTGTATTCCTAAAGTGAAATAAATGACATTCATTAAAAAAAAAATCATCTGAACATTTAAAAGAATACTCAAAATAAGAAAGGGGCTCACCGGTCTGAGTGAAACCAAACTGATGTAGAATCTGATGAGCGGTCGGCATGTCTGACTGTTTTAACTTAGACTGCTGTGAGGAGGCTGATGTTGAAGTAAACGAGAGATTTTTGTTGACCTGTAACAGGAAAGGCAAATCAGAACCAAAGTGTAATTTCCTGGGTTACTGATGCAAAAACTGGATGAGAAATATTTGCTTACAATGCAAACCAGGCCACATGGTAGGTCAAAACAAATGGTAAGGATTTATGTGCTTAGTTTTAAAAGTTTACGAAACAGAATAGTTTTTATCAAGGAAGGAGTACAGTGGTAATGAAAGCATCACTATAGGAAAGCACATCTGCCTTACCAAAACAAATCTGCTTTTCATAGAATTGACATTATTAACTTAAAATAGAGTGTTCTTACAAGTTATGCAAAGACGTGAAAATTAAAAGTGACCCCACCCCCGACTTTCAATGAAGAAAGTTAAAATGTTTCACAGCCACATTTCTTTAGCATTTTGTGAACTAGCAGGTCCTTCCTTTTCAGAGAATGCAAAGAAAACACCCATAATATCTATGTTTACATACATCATGGTGACCCAGGTAACAGAGCTGTAACATCACCTGCCAAGTGGAATAGCTCCCATTGCATAAAAACCCTTATTCTTAAGACACTGTTTAAAAACAGTACTGATATAATGATCAAGCAAAATTTCTGGAAGTAAATACGATGCTCTATTAACACAAAAAGCTTACTATGACTGTCTGAATACAATACTGTCTTCCAAAAATGATACCTGTAACAAGTATAAGAACAGGTCACAAAAATGTTTTAAATGTGTATTAGTAAATTTATCTTGTAACTTAGAATTAATTTTGGCAATGATCTAGTCTCTTGTTTAATTATTAAATTATTCATTATATATTTATTTTTTGAAGTATCTTCATTTTCAGAAATCATGATAAAATGTGATCTAATTCTGAAAAATTTGGAAGTCTGAATTTCTAATTTATTGCCAAATGTAATCTGTGACTTGCCAACTGTTAAAGGATAGTTTATGGCATATAAATACTAATATATGAAAATGGCTGCCTTCTCTCTTTGTAAAGGATAATCGAAACCACTCAGAGGACTACCACTGTATTAGCATTTAAAGATTCCCTTTTGGTGCTCTAAATAGTAGTGGACTGTGGTTATTACATGTCCTTTATCTGACTCATCATTTACATAATGTTTATAAATGCTTCTCTTCCTTCAAACAGTGACAGTAAATGGTGTATCTTAGATTAAGCTTTTTTCTCTTGAAGCAAAGGGCTTTTTCATACTTGGTGAAAAAGTCCATTCATTAAGACCATATGACAATATAGTCCTAAAGTTGGTAAACTGTTGTGATATTTTATAAAAAACAAAAGTATTTTTCAAAGTAGTTAGATGGGATCAAATACCACACCAGTGCTAAAAAATTATCTAGCTTTAAAAATTCTATCAGAATCCATTATTAAACACTGACCAAAATTAATGGTGACTATTTATATTAATACAATACCTAAAGTAACAACGAAATCATCTTATATCTTTGAGCTTTATTTCCATCTTTAAGTGCAGATAATAAAAATTAAAAAAAGTAGGTACGCTTCGATGGGAATGCGTTGGAGGAACAATAAAGATGACTGGTATTATAAAGTGCCATTCGCATATGCGAATACACAAAGCACTAAATAACATATTGAATAAAAAATAGATTTAAGTAGATTATGTTGGCAAAGGGAAGCCATAGGCTACTACATAAATAAAGTTCTATAGAAATATTAGTTACTATTATTAAGATCACTAGAAGTCAGAGTAATTAGGAACATGTAATTTAATATGATGATGCAGTAAATATTTCAGAGTCCTATGCTTTTAAATGGAAGTACTATATACAATGATATATTTATCCCTTAACAATCTAATCCACTTCTCTTTTTAGAATCATTTTCAGTTTTACTTCTGTGTTCTTAAAAATTTTTATCCTACATGTCAAACAGTGCATTCTGAAATCGGGTGCAAAAGAACAGGTGTATGCGGGGGACAGGACACACACACGCACAATAGGCTTTTCAGTCTTCCTCCTCAGATGTTTACTGTGCTAAAAAAAAAAGAACACCAGGAAAGCTAGAAGAGGACACTTAAAGGTCTCTGTTCAAACAGAGAGACTTTACAGTTTTTTCCTAAGCATTTTTAAAATTCTGCTCTTTCTTGACACATTTCTGGAGAGACTATCTAATATCTATGAAGTGGTAAGCAACAACATACAGATTTCAAAGGTCTTGGACAGTTGTTAATTATTACAGTGATATGAAATTAGCACTCAAAGTATTTTCAGAGCTAGCCTATACATATACACTACTTTACTTAGAGGAAGAAAAATAATAACCATTAAATAGAGTGAAGCAATATCTATTTTTGAAATACATGCTGTGGAAAATTGCTTAACAATTTTACAACAACAGAGAGGTTGGCTAAGACAGTCTACCCTACACGAATCTGCCTTCTTTTCACAACACACTCTTCTGCTTTCTTCATGCAAAAACCACAGTCGGCCAAAGTCAGTTTAATACCTCCAAACTGGGGAAAATGAAAAGCATACAAATTTAATGAAATTTATAACAGAAAAAAGGAAAAGTATCACCTGAACTTCGTGTCACATTAATCACAAAAATGTTTTTGCCTACTCTTTCGGAGCAGAAGCAGCTTTGTACAAAATACGCAAATTCTAATTCCCTAAGAGAAGGTTAATTTTCATATTAAAAAAGTCACTGTCGTGATCTAAAACTGAGTGCACAACACTGAACAAGCTAACGATTAGTTTCTTTAGTGGTTAGCTAAACTATGAAACCTTTGGGAGATATATAACATTCATTTTCATATACATTTGCAAGCCTAATCATTTTCACTGATTTTAGATTATATGCTACATTCACCTGAAGTAGAATTGTTTTTAAAATTTCAAGCCGTGAAGACACCTTAAATTGGTTTTAAATTATGACCTGAAAAATGATAATACTGTCTATATACTTATGTTTGTAAATTTGTCTCCCTCCCTCCTCCAGAAGGCTATTTTTTTTCCATTAAAATGGAACAACAATGCAGATAATACTTCAATTTGAAGATGGTTCTGGTTGCAAAAAACCCCCCAATGACCAGGAAACGTTCTGTTGCAAATCAAATGTCTGTTATAAAAACTAGAATCCCAATAATTAAAGAACAAGTGAAACAGAAAACTTGAGCCAGAGAGTCAAGGCAACTGAAGCCAGGTATCAACATTCTCGTACCATAAATTTAAAGCAGCTTAAGTTCCTGTGATTTCTAGGTAAGTAAAACCTAACAAATGAGTAGCCCTATGGTGTCACGAAGAGAAATTCAAACATGAGCTCTACGTCTCTATATATTTTCCTTATAAATTACCACAGTGACGTGAGGGATTAGGAAGAAACACAGTTCCTATTGGAAGAGAAATTTCTACAGTGGGGTGAGGTGCCAGAAAATCTCCCCCAAGTCAGTTCATCACTGCTACATGAACTAAAACCAGAATTCCAATTTGAATCAGTTATAACGAAGTTTTATTTTGCAGCACTTAATCCAGACTTTTTGAGCCTCTGATATATATACCAAGACTGGTAGTGCAAAGATGATTAACAGGATTCCCTGTGCAAAGCTTAAAATTAAGATTTGGTGCTGGTTCAAACCACCTATCCAACAACATGACTTAGTCAAAGTCAATTTAACCTCAATATATTTTGGTTTTCTCCAAATCTTTGCCTCTTTTCTTAATGTATTTCCTTACTACTCAGAGAAAATTTGGTCTTCAACCCTCTGCAATCTTCATTTTCAAACCTATGAAAGAATATACTTCTTGCATCCACCCTCAACCTCTTTTCTTCTAGTGTCCTTCTGTTCAAGATTAATCCCTCCATCTGTTCCCTTGGGGATACTTAAAGTTCTTCCAAATTCTACTTCCAAATGCTCTACTGGCTGTTTCCCTATAGTATATAAGCAGAGCTCTTTCTACTTCAGTATAAAAACAAATAGCAAACAATAAAAAATTCTCACGATTCCATAATTTCCTTAAGCTTCACTGAAAGCTAAACTCCTTGAAAAACAGCACATAACTGCTATCCATATAACTTAACCATTCAATTCCAACCAAGTACAACTATGCTTTTCTCCACCAGAAGACTAAATTTGAAATTAAAGTCACCACACCCAAGACTTTAAATGGTCAATTAGCAGATTCATTTAAGTGGTTGCGATTTCTAACACTGCCCATCACTCCCTCTCTTGTTTCTGGAAAACTATTTTCTGTTGGTTTATCCTGCCACTGCTTATCAGGGCTGTTTGTTAGACCCACTGGACCCTCTCTTCCCTCACTCTGTGTGGCTCCCCTGGGCAGTAACGTTTGTTTGCGTCACTTCATCTGCCATCTATGCTGACTTTTTTTTTTATTTTTATGTTCAGTTAGCCAACATATACACTATATCAGTAGTTTCTGGTGTAGTGTTCAATAACACCCAGTTATTGGTGTTATCACAAGACGTTTCTTAAATCCAAAACTCTTCCAGTCACTAGGTTCATGACTAAACCAACTTCTCAACTATTTACTTCCTTAGGGAAAGCTATCTCTATCCACCTAGGTGCCCCCATCAGAAAGGTGGAAATCCTACATTGCCATCTCATCCTCCACAGAGAATTAGTCACTAAGTCAATTAAATGCTCTGACATCTGGTCCCACTCTTTCTCCAGTCAGTGCTTTGGGTCAGGCCTTCCTCTCTGCTTGCAAACTACTGCAATCGTCCCGATTTGTTTTCCCTATCTCCTGTTTCTCTAATTCTTCTACACTGCTAACAAGCTGATCTTTCTAAAATGCTAGTTTTACTGAGTAACATTTCTGGTTAAACCCAGCACCAGCTGTTCCATTAGATAAAGTCCGAAGTTTTTAGCCTGGCATACAAAGTTTTCTATATTCTAATGACTACCTTGCTCTCCAACCTTATCGCTCCTTTTCCTACTTTCCAGCTACAACAAAATGCATGTAGCTCTGCAGACTGTCCAGGTTGTTTCATGTCCCTGTGACTTAGGTCTTACTGTTCCATT